TGCTTTCTCTGCTGTTGAGTCGTTGAGACTTGGGAGTCTTGTCATCGAGTACTCCCAACAACTCCTGAAAGAGTACCGACAGAGACTTTGCCACCAACGAGCCATTGAGGTTTGAAGAGGTAATCATCGCTTGAGAGGTTGCCTTGCCGGACTTATTTCGCAGCTCCTGGTATCAGCTCGTAGGCCTCTGTCAATGATAGACAAATGGACTCGGTGTCGTTCATTATACTAGGTTACGCAAGGGCTTCACTTGACGGGTAGGAGACTCGGTGATGGAGCTGGGCATGTTTTCAAACGGCCTATCTTACGCGACCAGACCATCTTGCATTTTTTCCTTTTCTCCCTTTTTTCACGCTTGTGCTTGTTTTTTTTTGAATATGATGCAGAATCCACCGAGACGTCCTCGCCGTAGGAGGTTTCTCCGTCTTGAATCGTACAGTATTCCTTGCAAGAGTCCCGGAATCCTTCAGAGTCGGTGGGAAAAGGTACCATCGGCGGCGATGCAACTGGGAAGTCTGGGCCTCCGATCGACCCGCCGAGCCCACTTGTGTGGGATGACATCTCGGGAGTGCTGATTGGACGAAGCTCTCTCCCCGCTTGTCACGGTGATATCATCGGGTGCCAGTCTGCATCAACATTGAGACTCCTCGATGGAAGGACGATTTTGTTCGATTTTGTGTTTGTACCTAGTAGCTAGTAGCTAGTAGCTACTAGCCACAGGTACACGAGATAATGTGCTGAGGATGAGGACTTTTTATGTGTGGGAATTCAAAGAGCTTCTTAGGAGAGCTTCACTAGAAGGAATATACCTTTTTGCCAATCTTTTGGAGGGTCTGGCTGGTTATACAGTAGGATCCCCTCGCTCGTTACATGAAGGATTGCCGAGCGGAGCAGTAGTTGGCAACCCATAGCCAGTAGTATCCATTCCTTCCAGCACTGGAATGACCGAGGACTAACTTGATTCTGGACAGACGAAACGGGATACAATGATAGCACGACGTGGACTATGACCGCTTCGATTGTCTTGAACAAGCTCTCGCTCTCTCTCTCTCCCCCCTCTATTCCTCTATTCCTCTGCTGCCTTTTCTTTGCTACTACTCAAGGGGTGGATGTTCACCTGTATCATCGCCGCAGGAAATCACTGTTTGAAGATACCTACCCTGATCGCTTGATTTCCTGATTTCTTCCTTTACGATACCCATCATTCTAACTTTGCGCCTCCCCGATCCGCGATCTCCGATCCGTCTCCTACTGTACTGTCACTGGACTAAGACTTGACTACTTTATCCCGCTCCTCAACCCTCGTCTGGTCCCAACGTGCCAAATCCTGCTCTGCCTCACCTCCACCAATGGTCTCCCCCTTTCCACCCCGCTGCGTGCTTCGCAATCGGTTTCCCCGCTTGAATCGGACGCTGCGTCACCGCCAACGCAACTCAACCCACGCCAGACACCCGACCCCCTCGGTGGCCGCTACTACCGAGACTACTCCCACTCTCACCCCTCCGTCTACTTTGTCGTCCCGCCGTCCTTCCACGAGCTACTCACGCCATCGATCCACTCCCTCATCCTCCTCCATCTCCTCCAGTTCTCGCCAGTGGTTCACATCCGCTACCACAGGTGCATCCCAAGCTCGACCACATCTCACCTCTCTCCATTCCATTGCCTCGATCTACTCCCTCCCCCCCACTCGCACTCTTGCAACCATGGCGCAGGAATACAAGCTCAAGGGTCTCTCATCCCTGGCGGAGGTCTCTTCCTCGGACAAGATTGAATGTGAAGTCGAAGGCATCGAAGAGGGCAAGGTCTTGGTCGTCAAGCACGCGGGCCAGGCTCATGCAATGAGCCCGCGCTGTACTCACTACGGAGCCCCGCTGAAGAACGGCGTGGTGGCGCCAGATGGCCGAATTACTTGTCCATGGCATGGTGGTACGTCTGAGCCAAGCTCATCTTTGGGTGTGAGGAGCAGAGTGTGGAAAGGATAAGATAAGAAAGAAAAAAAAACAAAGTAGGGTGCAATGATGGCTGACATGTGACGTGGTATGACATTAGCTTGCTTCAACATTAGCACTGGCGATGTGGAAGACGCCCCCGCACTGGATGCCCTGAAGAAGTTTGAGATCTTTGAGCGGGATGGTGCCGTCTATGTGCGCGGTACCGAGGCAGATATCAAAGGTGGAAAGCGAAGCCCCGTGGGTAAATGCTCAGTCTCGAATGCGGAAGACAAGGTAGTGGTAGTTGGCGGGTAAGTGTCATCCAGTGGCAATCCACTCGGCTCGAGAGTTACAATCTCGTAGAGAGACTATCATACTGACAAGCCAACAGTGGAAGCGGGACCATGGGACTTGTGCAGTCCCTGCGTGAACTCAAGTATCCCGGCAGTATCACCATCATCTCCAAGGAGCCCGAAATCGTCATTGATCGCACCAAGCTCTCCAAGGCTCTCATTGCCGACCCCGAGAAGATCATGTGGCGTCCCCGTGAATGGTTCAAAGACGCCGGTATCGAGATCGTCAACGACGAGGTCACCTCGGTCGACTTTGCAGGCAAGTCGGTCAAGACCGCCTCGGGCTCTACGGTCTCCTACACCAACCTGGTCCTCGCCACGGGTGGCCAGCCTCGCTCTCTGCCTCTACCTGGCTTCCGCGATAAGGAGCTGTCCAACGTCTTCACTCTACGCTATGTCTCTGATGTTCAGGCGATCCTGGCCGCCGCCGAGGGTTCCAAGAAGAACGTTGTCGTAATTGGCTCCTCCTTCATCGGCATGGAAGTCGGCAATGCCCTGAGCAAGGACCACAACGTCACCATCGTCGGGATGGAGTCCGCCCCCATGGAGCGTGTGCTCGGCCCCAAGATCGGTTCTGCCCTTCAGAAGAACATCGAAAAGAGCGGCGTGGCCTTCAAACTATCCGCCGGCGTCGAAAAGGCCACTCCCTCCGAGTCCCACAAGTCCGCCGTGGGCGCCGTTCACCTCAAGGACGGCACCGTCCTCCCCGCCGACCTCGTCGTTCTGGGGGTCGGGGTGCGGCCTGCAACCGATTACTTGCAAAACAACTCTGCCGTGACCCTGCAAAAGGACGGTTCTCTCGAAACAGACAACCACTTTGCCGTCCCGGGTCTTGAAAACGTCTTCGCCATCGGCGACATTGCAACATACCCGTACCATGGACCCGGAGGCGAAGGCACCCCCGTCCGCATCGAGCACTGGAACGTCGCTCAGAACATGGGCCGTGGCGTCGCCCGTGCCATTGTGCACTCTCGTCGCGCTCCGCTCTCATCCCTGCCTCCCAAGCCCTTCATTCCTATTTTCTGGTCCGCGCTGGGCGCTCAGATGCGCTACTGCGGAAACACAGTAAACGGGTATGATGACGTCGTCATCAAGGGCCAGCCCGAGGAGGCCAAGTTTGCGGCTTACTACACCAAGGGGGATACTGTGATTGCGGTTGCGACCATGGGCATGGATCCCGTCATGGCCAAGGCGGCGGAGTTGATGCGTCGGGGTCATATGCCTGGGAAGAAGGCGATTGCGGAGGATGTGGACATTTTGAGTGTGGATATATAGATGTGGATATATAGATGCGAAGACGAGGTTGTGCTAAACCGGGGAGTAACTCTTAATGACTCAATTGATGAAATTCGAACAATTTAAAATACCATGGCAAATACACACCCAAATTACCCAGATCTCTCAATCCTGTACATTGGACCCCCAACAAATTAAAAAGTCAACGTCGAACCAGTGTTCCCGCGACCTCAGCGACACAACCAAGCCACACCAAAAAGTGTCACTACTTGCTCCGGCTCGAGCACCCGGTAGGGCCGATACCAAACATGACGCCCAGCAGTGAGCACCTCCCCAAGCACATAACGTCAAAACCGACCCAACCCCTCAACAATTGGAACAGTTTGACCTAACAGGTCAGCCTCTCCTCCCGGCCGGCTGGCCCAATGGCAAGGCGCTTGACTACGAATCAAGAGATTGCAGGTTCGACCCCTGCGTCGGTCAATCTTTTTGGTGCTTGGTTTTTTTTTCGAGGGCCTAGCTCGGGCCCGGGACGGGAGGCGCGGCGAGGTGGAGACTTAGGGAGGATCGAGGATGAGTGGGACGGTGGGACGGGAGGTTGAGGGTTGGAACTTGGGGGGTAGTTTAGGTATGGAGGTGGATGAGTGTCTGGTGTTATAGTGTAGAGTGTAGAGTGTAGAGTGCAGACTATGACCTGAGTCTGGGGTCTGAACACTGGACCGTAATTCTCACCCGGTCCAGACGCATAAACATAACTAGGTACAGTACCTACAGGTATCCACAAACGACGGCGATAACTCGACACCGGAAACCGACCCAGACCGAGACGGCATACATCCCGACAATCCCGGAATTCGGATCGACCTCGGTCTTGAAGACTTCCATCCTCAATCTCATACAAAGCCACAACATAACGAAGTGCACCGTGGACCTTCCTCCCCTCCGGGACCGCATGCCACGGGTCCGGGTCATAGAGTCCACAACCCCGACTCTTGAGTAACAATAAGCTTCTTTTCGAATCGTGCAGCGTGCTTAGCAACGCACTCATCAAGCGGGACCCGAGGAGTCCAGGCTCCAGCTGGCACAAGAAGTGATGAGCGCTCCCTGAATCCTGCATCCTGTGCCGTCGGAGTATTCGGGTTGTTAAGTTTCATGTCTTTTGTGTTAGAATAGAAACTACGGAGACGCGAAAAAAGCTCTCCGAGGTATACCCGTATACCTAGGTAGTAGGACTAGTCACTCTGAGGATATCAAAAGACAGACTCCTTATCTAACATTGCGTAAATCTTCAAGTTCAAATCCAAGCTCGTCTAAATAAACCACTAACCTCATCCTCACTTTCTACAGAAACATCCTCCGCAGGTCCGTAGGACCATAGGACGTACCTACAAGTCCGTCGGAATCGCATAGATGACCAAGAGAAACATTCCAAAAGCTCTATGCTCATGAGTCTAAATTTGGCCAAAATCTCTTTATACAAGACAGTTTGGCCGAGTGGTCTAAGGCGCTTGACTAGAAATCAAGTCTCTTCGGAGGCGGCGGTTCAAATCCGCCAGCTGTCGGTTATTCTTTTGCTCTTTTTGGTTGTTTAAGAGGAGATAGGATGTAGAGGAGGTGGTGGTAGATGGATAGAAATTCGGTGACTATGATAAGGTAGTACTGGACTAATCATGTGTAAGAGGTGGATCGGGCTCGGAGTGGATTGATAGGGCTGCGGGAAGGGGGGTTTTTGTTTGGTGTGTGGTGATTGGTACCGGGGGTCTGATCTGATGGGGCGGTGAGTGGAGATTGGGCGGGCGTTAGGGATACCAGTGCAGGTGGTTCCGAGGACATAAGCGCAGATGCTGTGGTTGACTGAACAAGTGAACAACTTGTAAAACTTGTATTCGAGTCCAACATTGAAGAATTGTAGATGGGCTTCTTGTCGAGGTATCGTTGTGGAACCGTGGGGCAAGTGTAGGTGGTGCTTTTTGTCCATTCCGTGAAGAATGGTCAAGACACCGCTATCAATATTCGAGCCTTGATTTGGAGTTCCCATCTGGGTTGTAGGGTAAGAAGTTTAACACTCCTTCGGTGAGACAGAGCGGACAGTAGTTAGCAAGGTAGTTACCAGTCACCTACACTACGTAGAGTCGGATGTAGATTGTAAATGATAGATTATAGATCTACGACATGTGCTACTCTACAACCCTACTCTTCGCAAAAGTCCACACCAGATACATGGAAGACAAATCCAGTGATCATATCTCATTATTCATAGCACATCTCGACAGATATACAACCATTCCAGAAATCGTTCAAGAAACGCACCAGTCCAAAGAGTGACGCGTAGAACGAAACCACTCAATGATCCAATGACCCGTGACGATACACTCAAAAGGCTGTCCTTGTCTGGCATCGAGATGAATAGATTGCATATTCGGGAACACAATTCAGTGCAATCTAGGTACGTGTACTTGCAAGGCTGTTTTCACAGGCGCAAGTCTTGTCCGATGTTGTTGCGGGCTTTGCCTTGTTCTGGAACCACGAACAAGATGAAGATGGGCTTGCCG